CCTGTTGGTGAAAGTCATTATTGATAACTATTAATTAATTTTAATATACAATATTCATCTCCCACAACATCTTCATATGTACACATGATACAATATTGAGCTCATTCTCCATAATCAAGGGACTACTTATCCTACAACAAGCTCTAAACGGCCATAAGTCACACATATGTATAGACTAGCTTCTAAATATCTATATGTATATCAGACATAATATGTAGATTGAAGCACCTCATCCAGCTGTAGCAAAAGTTTCACATGATCAATTCGGTATCGGCTTGAAACGGGGTTTCGAGAAGGACGGAGAAGGATCATATCTTCCATAGTCATTCGTTTTAACCACAAGGATTCTTGGATGAAGAGCAAGTGATTGATCCTGTCAAGAATTGGGAACATGATCTCTAATCAGAAAACATTCTACATATTATGTAAATATACCACATACATGTATTCAGTACCTTCTTCATTCCCTTCATTGGTATGGTTGACTCTTTCATGAGCTTCCGATGCCCGCCTGCAAACAAATTTGAAGTCATTCCATATATCCAATTTGTCGATAAAATTAACCAAAAACACCAAAATTTTCATGACACAAGGACCAATTCACAAAGTTGTATACATTAATTACTATGAATATACCAAAAAAGATAAAATAAAATCGTATATCATTCTATTAGCTTTTACATACATTTTAAGTTGTAATTCTTCAAAAGCACATGTATGCATCACTAACGTATCGCTGTTTTCTTTTTTTTTTTTGACTTTTTTCCCTATCCGCATAAGCTAAGCGGGTGGTATTTTCTTCAGTGCATTAGACATAATATCTCTTCTTGATGTCAAACAATCAGAACTAAAATAGTACACGTACGTGTTTTCTTTACTTTTAAACATTGCATATCTGGCTCTGTAAAGTTTCAAACCTGCAAATGATGCTGAGACAAGCGACGCCAATATCACAAACAAAATGAAGATTGCTTTCTTAGATGCCATTCAAGCAGACCTTGCAAATTCTTCGCTACCTCTTACTCTTCTCTAAGATCATGACTCATATATAAAGAGATGGTAGCTCCTCATTGTATAGTAGTGTGAAAATGGATGATGAGTGTGTTAAAAGATTTCTTTATGTTTGAATGCATATCTGTATGAGGTTTGCGTTTCTAGTTTAACTACACAAAAGGTGAAGTTGAGCACTATTTCTTTGTCATAGTATAGTGGATTGCTTTTGTCTCCAATAAAATGTTTAAGGGTAAATTATTTACTATGTTCTTTAACTAAAGATAACATTTTCAAGTGCTTTAGTGGGAATCACTCACTGCTGAAATTATATAGATACAACTAGTACCAATGGTTGAGCAACACTGGATCGATACTGGCTTCATTGTCACAGTGCTAGATGGCTAGGGTACTGATTTTATACATGATAGCACAGATCTCACTGAGATATAAGTAAGTGCAACTCTATACTATTTTAGTGGACTACCGGTTAGCAACTTGATATCGATGGTTAATTGCGGATAGACCCCCTGTACTACCACCCAATTGCTGATAAACCCCTTGTACAATCGCTCAGGAGGTCTATCCGCAGTTAACCCTCGTATCAATGGCGCTAGGCGTTGAGCTTACAAATGTCGAAGCGATTCGTGTTGAACTCAATGGTTTGCTCAGTTAATCATCCTGATGGAAGAAGGCAATCCATTTTGATTGAGAATCTTGGAGATACACAAAGCACATTGACAAAAGTTGAGACTTCTTATAAATATTGGCCTTTGCGTGTAGAGAGCGTACTTGAATTTTCGGCAAACATAAGACAGAGGGGGGAAAAGTAGTAGCTTTGTTGACTGTTAGTGCTCCCAATTATCCCACTCAAAAGGCTATTATTATATTTGCATTGCCTTCTTTATGGGAAAGAGGTCTGCTGAAAGTTCAATAAAATAAAAAAATAAAGTTGCACAATGCAGATTGAGCTCAATACAGAAGTATAGAACGAGACAGAGAAAAAAAAAATCAAAACTTCATGTGATCACCATCCAGTCTAAAACTTCAAGCGTTCCATGAGTTCCACCTTCAACAATGTATACGGCAGAAATTTCTAAACAAATTAAGTACAATTACCGAAAAATTATCACGAAACCAGGAAAATTCATAAGTAAACCAGAACACATGAAGAACGTAAAAGTAAGCCCAAGAAAGTGATCACTTAAACCAAATTCACCAAAGCATTAATTAATCCAATTTTACTAATGACTGAACAATAGTGTCATTATACATTCTACTAAGCTCTCCAAGCATCGAACATGCCAAGATGCATTCCCGTAGAACAAAACCTCCACCGTATCAACTCTTAGTAAGTTACATATCTGTCATAAGGAAAAATAAATAAAATTTGCATGTAATATATAAGCTGAACAAAATTGACCCCTTTCCTGAAAACAAATGCTTCGGTTTCAAGTTAGGAATGGCTCTATCAGCGTCTCCGCGACGTGCATCCCTTCAAGGGTCAGTTCCAATCCATCAGCCATCTCAAAATCAGCTTCCTCCCCCGATCGAAGCTCCTCTTCTCGTTCCAACTCCACCGATCTTCGTAAAATATCAGCATTGACATAATCATACACATCGTGCCCATCTAATACCTCCGGCATTACGTCCTCCTTCCACTCATTGTTTGCTAATATGTAATGTTTCTTTAGACTAGCAGAGTAGACACTGGCACCACCGTTCTCCTCCTCCAAATCTTTTTCGAGCTTCCTCTTCTCCTTCTCTGTGCTTTGCTTCACACGGGCTTCAAAAACTGCCTGAGGAATGCAAGGCGGCCACTCCTTCTTTGTCTCGAGGCTTTGGCTCTTCAACATGAAACCAGTTCAAGCCGCTGCATGCTCATCTTTTTGGAGCTCGCATTTATCTACACTCTTTGTTCATGAACAGCCTTGATGCTGTGAAAGAGTGCTGCCTGCTGAGCCACGGAGTACCCGCAAGACCCTGAAACGTCCAGAAAGAAGAGTACTGCAGGCCTTAAATGCGTCAAGGCCGTGATGCTGCACATCTCTATGATGTTTCAGTACTCAAATGGATGATCAAGAATCTCCTATGATGTTTCGGTCCTTAAGTGGACGATCAAGAATCGCGGGAGTATCGATCACTTGATAGCGCAAGTACTTATAGTCAGCGCGTGGCTGACAAAGAGAGACTTTGATTTGGTTTCCCTTGTGGGTGACCGTCGGTGTACGAGAGAGGAACAATGTCAATGAAGTCCTTGTACAATGGGACGACATTAATCTTCTTGAAATAGTATTGCGCCTCTAAGAAGGGCAACATGCTACAAGAATTATTGTACAGCAAAAATTCAACCATTCTCATGCATCAACTTAGCAAGACAAATATTTACAACCACTAAATTCAAGTAGCAAGACAAAGTGCTGTGTATTAGACAAGAACATCACTCCATGATGTATGTTTATGCTAGGGAGATCTCTTGAAACCCTTGTTACCACATTAAGGAAACTATTAATATTTTGCATAACACAAACTTGTTTGTTTCAACACATCAAATTAGAACAAGTTAGATAAGATACAATCTCATACTGAAGGATTATGCATTTTTATTCCATGTATAGCATAAATAAAACCAAATGATCCATCTATATAAAAAAATTATTTTTTTGCTTAGGGGCTGTTTGTTTGCTAAAAAAAAAATGAGAAAACCCCTCATCACGTCAAATTTCAAGAAATCTCCCTGCCACGTAGGATTTTGATTTCAACTGATTTCCAAATCACATGTTTGTTTCGTTTTGTGATTTAAAGAAATGAGGTCGCCACGTAGGATGTCACGTCAGATTTTTGAAAAAAATGTTCACACCAAAAACCTCTGAAAACACTTGAAAATGTCACTTCAATGAATTTTTAATTACTAAAAGTACTGTTAAAACAGTGACTGTGAATAAAACAAATTATTACTGTTACTATTACGGCTGATTTCCATTTTCTTTTTTTATGTTTAAACAAACACAAGAAATGAAAATCGAAACACTGTTACTATTACGGTTGGATTTGTTTTTTATGTGACGTGGTGATGACATGATGGTGATTTCATTGCGAAACAAACAAAAAAATATGGAAAATATCTTGAAATCTATTGAAATGAGTTGCATTGTGAGTTTTCCATTTCCGATTTTTTCCAGAAAACAACCAAACAACCCCTTATAACATTGAAGCAAAGCCAAAACCCTAATCCTAAAAAAACAAATTTTCCTGAACCCTAAAAATCTCAGTGCCACAAGCCCAAACCAAATTTGTCATCGTCCAGCATAATAAACACAACAGGACATCTCAAGATCCAATTTTTAAGAGAAGCGCTGACAAATTACCCAAAAAATTAACCAAAATATCCAAAACGGAACATGAACTTATCGGAAATCAAACGGTTAGGGTTCGGACGAGAACTTCACGCTGTGGCCGAGGCGACGAGGGCACTCTCGGGCGGTGAACGTCGGCGGTCCGGGGCTTGGGTTTTATACGTGACGACGTGAATGGCGTTTATGCCCCTTGAGGATGTGGGTCTTGGGTGGGCCTAATTGGGCTACGATGGGTAAAAGTGGGAATTTTGGGAGCCAGGTCACCATTAAATAGTAAATAGGCTCAGATATGGGCCGCACTTCATGTTTGGGCTTAAGAGGTGACAGGTCTGTTTAAAAAATCATAGTTTTTTTTCCACATAAATCACATTTAAAATAGGGTGACAACATCTTCAAGGTTCAATTAATGTAGAAATCGTCTTTAAAGAGGTTTGGATAGCAGCGGTATGTCTTCTTAACTAAACCTAGAACGTGACATGTTTGGTTTTTAAGAAAATTTGAGAATTTCAATAAAAATTCCATCATAAAATATATCAAACTTGGTTGATTGCTATCGGAACCCCTTCTAAATGTGGTTCCTTAACTTCAAGAAATGATTTTTTTCCGTATTGGCACTGTATTTTAAATTAAGGTGGTTTCTATCGGAAAAAACCGGTATATGTTAAAATTCTAAAAATATAGAATTATAACATCTAGTTACATCTCGTAGTGGCCGCTACGATACACATGTGATAAAATACAGATAGAAAGCCGACACTTCCATCTAAAATTTTTATATTGAAGATTTCAGTTTTGCATGATTCAGATTGGAAAACCAATTAGATCATCAAAATATAGACCTAGATCAATTCCTCAACGTCCAATTTGTTACTAGCTATATATATGTTAGCATATACATAAGACTCCCACGTCTTGCATCATCATACTTGTGCTTATATATATATGAGAAAAAATGGGTATGCTAGGTACCAATCACAAATTTGATGTTTGGTAGTGAGATGTCTCATTCCTATCCACTCATTGTCATTCCCAACCACTCTCCAACCCATGTGAGTGTGGAGCCCGATTTCAATGAGTGGAGGGGAATGTAACATCTCACTACCAAACACTATTTTTTGTGCTTAGTACCAAGCATACACATCTCTCTCTCTCTCTCTCTCTCTCTCTGTCTACTATAGTATATATATAATTATATAATATATAGTATATAGTATATATATATATAGTATATAATATATATATATATTATATTATATATATATACTATATATATATATATATATATTATTAGTATTATATTTAGTATATAGAGAGCAGAGAGAGAGGCGCGGCACGAGAGCAGAGAGAGGCAGAGACGAGAGAGAGAGCCAGGAGCTCAGAAACTTATGCTCAGTTTACCTGGACGTCCACCTAAGTTTCTTAGTCCATTGCATGATCACCTGCATTGCCAGCAACATTGCTGGATGAATCCGCTTACCGTGAACCTTTGATCTACATATTCTAAAACCCAAACACCACCAAATTTGGCGGCTGAATCCCGTCCGCTGGTTTGACCCTATCATCCTACTCATTATCAATTTTAACGGCTTTTCGAATGAATATGCAACTTGTTTACATTAGGCTCGACGGCAGCCTGCCGTCAAACACCACGCACACGGTTCACCCCTTAAATTTGCCGCGGCACGTGACGCAACGTCCTTTGTACGTTCGGCGTTTTAGAATATGTAGACATCAAGTTCAACGCGAGCCAGGCTCATACCATAATGTTAGCCTCAATCACAGCTGATCATCAATGACTAATCTAGACAACTTAGTGGCACGATCCACCTAAGTTGACATTTAAGTTTTCTCTCTCTCTCTCTCTCTCTCTCTCTATTATATATATATCATACTATTATACTAATACTATCATATATATAACTATATATATATATATGCGTTACGCTACTAAGTAATTATCAGCAGCAATCATGCAATGCTTGATGCAAGCTTAAATCTTAATCAATAATTGCACGGATGGACTCACTAGCTAATCTTCCAACATATATCTGAAGGAATGCGAGCGCGGTATCTACGGTCATGTCATACTAACTCAAGGGAATAAAGTTAATTTCATGATAACTAGGAACATGATCCTTGCTTCCCCCAAAAATATGATTGTTGTTCCTAAAGAGGCTCAACACTCAACTCCATGTTCCTTTGTTGGGGTGAGTCCTGCCCTAGATTTACAAGGCAGTGGCTCAAATCACGAGCGCAACTAGGCAAAGTGTGTTTTGGAGAACTTTTTCCCCCCCTTGTGCTAAATTAACCCAAGGGATTTGCAGACATATTACGTTCAAATTTAATTTGATTTAGTACCATTTTATCGAATTTAAGCCTATTGTATAACGCATCTCAACACATGCACCGGATTCTTAGCAGGGCTAAAATTGTAGAGAGGTCACAAAGATTAATTAACCTCAAACTTCAGAATACGTAACATATCAGAACAACATTCTACATGCGTGTAGGGTGTTTCGAGTCATATAATTAAAGGGGGTACTGAAACCCCCGAAATGTCTTTGACCTCTCTCTAAACTGACTACTAACATCCCCCAGCTCACGCGTGATGTTTTGGTACGATGCGTACTTCTCATGCTACACTCCTAGTTATGTGTTCTTTCGGTCCTAATTTTCTTACCCAAATCAACCCACCTTGCCAAGATCTTATCGCTAAAATCAAAGTTTTTGTTTGTGTTGCGTTTTTGAGAGGGCATGGAGAATCTGTGGTAGGACTAAGAGGGTGGCAAAATCTACACTTGAAGATCATAGCAAGATTCTCTCTCATGTGTTTTTTTTTGCTTTGCTTTGGCATTGGAGGGTTAGTGTGCCCTGGCTCAGAGAGGGAATAAGCTGTTAATGAGGGAGCGTCATATATTCCAATGTCACTGTTTGTGGACTAGTGCGAAAGTGCGTAATGATAGAGCTTTTTGAGAGATTGATGGGCATTAGTTCCAGTGTGGTGGAGTGTTTGAAGTCTTTGGCTTGAAGATGTGGTGGTCTGCCTCTATCTTGCTCTTGTACTTGCAAGGGTTGAAGCTCTAGAAGACAAAGAAAGGTCCTTTGACTCTAGTTGGAGGGCAGCTTTTCTCCGAATAAAATACGGAAAACGATATTAATTATATGTCGACCTTTTTAATTTAATTAATCATGTAAATTATAGAAATCTATGATCCGTATCGTCGAGATTATGCAAAAAACGCATTTTATCTATCGAAATCATCAGATGAAAGAACTTTTTATCACGGTTCGACGATAAAACACTCCTGACAGACATTTCTCGCATGAAAGGCTTCATTTAAGAAACAAACAACCTTATCCCTAGCCCTGACTTCTCCTGATTGGAAAATGATACAAATTTCTTGTCGTGATAAAACTCAAAGATCTTACTCACGGAGATCTCTAACCTTATCTAAGTACATGAATGTTAGAGTCAAAGACTATATCTTGACAGATATTAGAGAATACGTTCTGCGAAGAATATTACCATTTATGGATTTTCTTTCATTTTAACTTTACTTTTGCTTAATCATTGAGTCAAACCTCACCACTGCTTCACTCAATTGACATTCTCATGTCTCACATAGGTTTAGGATGAAATGGGCTAGGAAACAACCTAGGTAGCTATATATGGGATGTATGGATTCTAATACTTTTTCCATCTCTTTGAGGTTCAAGTTGTAGGAAGAAGGTAGATTTTTGTAGGGGGGATAGAGGACAAACCTAGATACGGATAGTATAGAGCTAGCTTAACCACACTTTGAGGCTTGACCAAAACATGTGTATCTCCATACTAGGGACCTAAAAAAGACTGATATTAAAGTTTGTTGTAATGTAAATATTGTATTGTTTTGTTGCAATTGATTTTCAATTACATCTTCTTTTCTATTGAAGGATTAATCATTCAATCGAATCAATCATATGAAAGTGAAGTGTACGCATATGGTTAACTCAAGTAGAAGAGACAAATATGAAAACATTAAGGGGTTGTTTGGTTGTTGTTGGTAAGATTGTGTATTTATGACACAACTTGGAAAGTTGTTGTCCACCTCATCAATATCACTGAGCAACTTTTCTTTGTTTGTTTTTTATTCCATTAGAATCATAAATTGCTTGTTTGGTTTGCAAAATGTAACTTTAATTGCTTGTTTGGAAAGTGTAAAAAGTGGTTATTGTGTGGTCCCTACTCAAATGATTCAATTGGCCTAGCCTCCTCACTTCTGACACATATGTCGGCTTTCCTTCAAAATCAGACCGTTTTGAAGGGATTTGTGAATCCGTGCCACATCAGCAAAGTAAATCACTTTACACTATTTTCACAACTACAAGCAAACAATTGAAAAGAAGGAAAGCTGACATTGGGACCCACTTTTTTACATTTTCCATCCTTTTACATAGTAACAAACTCATTATTAGATAATAATCAAGTTCAAATATTCCATGCATTCTATCGACCCAAATCGCCATTTTTTTTTTGCCTCAATCTTTTCTTCTCTCTTCCGTTGATTTTGTCTCCTTCCTTTTTCTCCGCTGGCATTGATTCTGTACTCAAATCATTTTCTGTGTTTTTTATTTTTTTTACTACGCCACGTAAGATTGAACAAGATCTACCCACTAGATACTTCCTCGTCTCATGAAACGTTCAAAGAGAATCTAATAAACAGACACAACGAAAGCGGGCCCCATCTGTCAGAGGAAACCACGACGGGTGAAATTTTGGGTGCAGCAGCTCGCTCGACAGAAGGGAGGCAGATTAACTAACTCAACAGAACACTGTTAAAAATAGGCGTCCGACGTGGCAAACGGAGGGCTAACTCCGTGTAAGAGCTCTCTGGCTCTCCGTTAGTTTAGGAGGGGTTCGTAACCGTGTTGACGTTAACGGCGTTAGTTTTGTAAACGACAACTCTCCATACGAGGTAACGGCCGTTAGAACTGTCGTCTATTCCAACGGTTTAGGGGGGGCCCTGTTTTTAGAAAACATTCCGTGTTATTCTTCTCTCTCTATATACATGTATATATATTAAAGCCTTGGCTTTGTTGAGTTAAGCTTAAAAAAATAGAAGAAAAAAATATTTTTTCCCCCTCATTATTATAAGAAATATATTTTTCTTTTCTTTTCTTTTCTTTTACAAGAGCTTTTGAAGGAGGAGGAAGGGCATTAGGAGCAATTAATTCTATTATATATACATGGTAAGTATTTCTCCTCTCCCATTTGTTCTTTTTTTTCCTTTTTCTTTTCTTTTCATTTCATTTGGGTTTGTTTGCTTTGAGAAGCTCTAATGGTGTTCATGGTTTCGTGATGGTTTTCATTTTTTTTTTCACGTTCAAATGAACATCAAACATTTGAGAACAAAAAAAGAAAAAAGAAAAAAAGATAAGAGAATAATTGTTTGGGTTTTGAAGAATGCATGCCCACATTGCTAATTTCTTTATTATTCATTAAATGCTTGATCATATATCGTTTATGTCAGTGTTTTCTTATTGAATTTTTTGAAGAATGCATATCCACATTTAGTCTTTTGTGGAGGACATTGTGTTCTTCTGTATTTGAATTTGTAGAATGTTACTACAGTTGACATATATATAGCATGTTACTACAGCTGGAGATTTTTTTTTTACAGAATGTTACTACAGTTGGAGCTTTTTTTTTTCCCTTTCTTTCTTTTAATAAGTCATAGTTTGATCTTGAATATAGGGCCTCCCATTAATTAAACCTCACTTATTTTTGTCTTGATTTTTTTTTTAGCATCTCAGTTTCTAATTGGCTTGGATTTTACTCCTAAATCAGCCCCCATCATTTTTTTTTTGCATAACAAGCGTGTGCATGCGTTCCTTTTTCTCTCCCTATTATGTATGTCACTTTCTAGAACTTTATACAATCAAATGCTTTTTTTTTTCTTTTTTTTTGCCAAAGATAAACATAGGAATATAATACCCCCCACATTATTCTCTCTCTCCACGTGCTGCCCAATCCCATCTCTTGGACGAGACCAAGACCTACACAACAATTTGCAGAATATTTTATAGACTTTAGCTTTTGTTTCAAGGTACACAAAAGATGGGCATTCCTTTCTAGATATGCCTCTCTTTTTTAAACATGTTGATTTCACTATTTTCCAATAGGAATTTCATTTCAAATTTTTTTTTTTTTGCATGATCTCTTGGTTGTTGATAATGAAGTAACAATGCAGCACCCCTCAAATCACTGAGGCTTGCTTATCTGCGCAAAATACACATTCTTATATTAGCGAACTGCTGCTCATTAAAACAGGAGGGCAAAACACATGCTTCATAGACAAATCACCTTGTAATGATCAAGTAGGAATGGATGCTCTGAATCAATTACAGTGCATTTCACCAACACAATATTATAATGTTAGAATGTACACATTCTGATATCACCAAAATTTCTCCTTTAAACAGGAGGGCATTTCAACTCCAATAGGTTCCCAAATCCTCGACTTCCACGACAACGACGAAGACATAAACCTCTTCGCCGATGGTCCACCAGCCTGTCCAATAACCACCACCATCATCCCCAATTCGTCATCCTCAATCACCGGCACCACCGCTGCTAGCTGCGATAGCGAAGACCTCTGCTGTTTTCTCGGCGACGATGCCTCCTTTGATTTCGATCCTGCAACAATCTCCAGTCTCCTCGACTGTGACTTGGACAATGACCCCCCTGCAGTTCACCAACTGCCCACAACATCATCAGTAAGCAATAATGTTGGAGGTCAGAATCAAGATCAGATGAACCAGTTGCTACTTACAGAGACTATGAACAGAAGGAATAGGCCTTTGGATTCGCCTGATTCAGTGATCCTACCGGATATGAGCTCATGGGCCCCGATTCAAGATAGTCGACCGATCAATATGATGCCATCGCTGATGGGGTATATGGGGATGGATAATTTACCGTCATGTGCATTTTTGGATACTAGTATTGTAAACAGGTATCAGCAGATGAATGGTGGAGATGGCCCGATGGGGTTTTTTCACAGGAGGACGATGATGGGTGTAGATGGTGGAATTGGTGCAGAGGGCATTTATGGGCTGGAGTCTGCTCAGGGAGTCTATAACTCACTTGACATGCAGGTAATGGCTCAAAAACTGAAATAGAACACTAAATGATCAAGTCTCAGCTAGCTCAACCTAATTGAATCTAGGGTTAATTGCAGATAGACCCGCTTGTGCTATCATCAAATTGAACTTACTACCCCTGTAGTTCTATTGTAACAGATAGACCCCCTGAGTAAAGATCAACTGGGATGCCTTAAAAAGGGCCAAAAAAATTCCTCTCAGGTGGTCTATCTGCAACAATAGAACTACAGTAGTAGTAAGTTCAATTTAGAGATAGTATAGGAGTTCTTACTGCACTTAACCCAAACTAATATAATTTGATGATTCATCATCTATTCCACCTACTGGAATTAGTGTTATTGGACATGCTAGCTAATTCAGTGGATGTAATATGCGCAATTGAAATTTGTTTTATTCAACTATTTGAAGGTGATAGGAGATTATAAGAATCTAGTAGACGGGTGCGATAGCAATCATACGACATTGCCAACATCCGATATCACACCGTTGGATGATTCCACTTTGAAAGTTGGCCGCCTCTCGCCAGAGGAGAGGAAAGAGAAGATTCACAGGTACTTGAAGAAACGGAGCGAAAGAAATTTCAAAAAGAAGATCAAGGTGAGATGAAATGGATCGTTTATATTAAGAAATGTACGATAACTAATAATCTGATCCTTGTGTCAATACTAAGTTCGAAAAATAATAATGTCCACAACCGCAGTAATTATGCCGTTATATACTGCATATGTTGCATACACATGACCATGGTAGCTTATTACTACTTTAGTTCATAATTTTGGTCACAAATCATAAGTAGATTTCAAAGTATATGCAACAACATAAGTAGCTTTCATCTTTCAGTGCACAGGATAATGTACATGTACTAAATACCAGTTGGAAGATCATGCACTCACTAAATTTAACAATAGATGGACAGGTGAATATAATTCATAATCAAAACACGTGGCTGATTAATACTTTAGTTCATAGTTTTGGGTCACAAATTGTTAAAATAACTTAAACATGATGTCAATGTAGACCTAGTTTATTTAGAAAGGTAATAAACTTATTGTAATACTGAGATATTTGTTCTCATGATGTCCTCTACTAACAAGTAAAATAAATTGACAAAATATGATAGTATGCATGCCGGAAAACTTTGGCTGACAGCCGGCCTCGAGTGAGAGGGAGATTTGCAAAGAATGATGAACATGGAGAAGCTACCACCAGACCAAGTTTCAGCAATCATGAGTATTTCGATGAGGAAGAAGTAAGTCCTTTGCATTTTTTTTTTTTCAAATTTGCAGTGAGAAATTAGTTGATAATTTGCAATATAACAAAGTGGAATTTACAGCTCTGAGTATTAACCATGGCTACTTTTATGTAAAGGTTGTAATGGTCAAGGAAGAAGATGATATGCTGAACTCCACGAATATATTCTTGCATATGAATGGTGTTAATTCGTTCAACTATAACTACACTATAGAATCTTGGATATGAGCCAGAGCAACATGAGTCATACAATCTTCTCCCTCTTTCTTTTTCTTTATTTTTTCTTCCTCCTTTTTCTACCCAAATTCTTCTACGCAGCCATTCTGCAGTTGTAACAAAACCTAGTTCCATTCAATAAAATGAATGGTCTGAAGTTTACCGTTCATGTGTAATGTGTATATGCTACAGTGAAGTAGTAGGGATTATTCTTTTTTCCTTCCATTTTGTCAATTCCCTGTTTTGTGACAAAGCATACATTGACTATTTTGTAAATAATATGGTACCATTCATGGTTTCACCCTCAACAAAAAGGTAATATGTTCTTAGTTTAATATCTAAGTGAACAGGAAACATATGATGCAGCAACGTAATATCCAAAATTATTGAGGAAACCATCCAGAACTGCAGATCCTTCTTGTTTCTTGCCACTAATGTGTCAAGTCCAACAGAATGACAAACAAAAAGCCTCATGCATCCATGAGAGAACCTTCACTCGGGGGGAAAAACTAAAAGAAGATCTCAAGGGAAGTTAAAACCCAAAATCTCTCAGAAAGGAGGGAACATTTCCCTATAATCCTGACTTGCAAACTTTTCCTATTAATCAACTGCATGTTGAATGGAACCTAATCTTGCTTAAGCAATCATTTTATGTCTTTCCCTGTTTTGAAAATCAAGTAACTACATGTGACGTATGCATCCATCTACTAGAAAACTGAGTTTGACATTTCTTCTAAAGCTAATTAGCCAATTTAATATAAATCACGCTATATATATAGACAAAACTGTTATAGACTAGCATGCAGCGACACAGCTACATCAAAGTGGACACAACAGTATACAATAAAGCCTAAAAAAATTAAAAAATAAACATGATGTCTTCAGATAGGACACAGCTTCATAACAGAAGTCCTGTGATACATAGGTTGTACAAGAATGAGTGCTGCTACCATCAAAGATGAATCCCTTGCTGGCTAAAATAATGCAACTGGTGCGAAATATCACTTAGGAATTACCATAGATGGATGCCACTAAGTTTAATATTGAAGGTCATGACTAACGGTAGCAGGAGTAAGCCCTTAATATAACACGACTGATTGATTGTAATTCTAAATTCCATGAGCAGTCAAGAATTGCAAGGGAGTTTTGGGAAATAACTATTGAAGGTGATGAAAATCTGACACTTAGGACCCTCTAACGACAATTGCTGAAGCATTAAGAAGTATGAAGTTCATGAGAAGATACAGTTCACACATGATTGCATGGTTCAAGTCATTCCAAGATCACACATTAAATTATAAGAATATTGCTATAGATATATTGTCAGAAAGTGATGAAAAGATGAACAAAGGTGATGCTTACCTGAAGACACGCAACTATTAATCAAGCATCAAATGGCTAATCAACAACAGCTGGTTACATGCAAATATAACTGATGGAGATTGATTAAGAGTCCTCCAACTGTTATTGATGCTCTACCCAAAAATTTTATTTGAGAATATGCTGTTAATAAAATGGGAAAACCTGGGGGGCCAGGGTGTTGAGAGTTTGGGCGGTAGGTGGTTGTTCGTGGAGATCATCTGCTTGAGAAATCCATACTTTAATCATGAAATGCAACAAAATAAAATCAAACGTAAAGTTAAAATTTGAGATTGCACAGCTCTATCTCAAGAATCTATCTCAAGGAAGTATTCTGCGTTACAAACAGAAACAAGTAGGTCTCAACAATCTGAAAATCTACAAGGCAGCAAATACAATTGGCTGGAAATGCCTCTAAATTGGACCGTGCTTTTCTCTGTTCTCCAACAAAATAGCATTTTAGATTGTGTTTGTCTAATCTTTGACAGGTGAGCAATTCAAAAGATTACTTCATTAAAATGAAAATTTTAGTCAAATAGACTTGGGATTAAAACCTAAGAAACATAAAATAATGCAATTTAACAAGCTAAAAAAACCAAATCAAGCTATCCTACATAGCCATCACAATATTCAATGGAATAAAGATCTATTATATTGTTCATACGAATCATGCTACAGGCAGCAAATCTCAGATTTTTGAAAGGACATTGCTCATTAAACTTGGAATGAGAGAACCAGCACCTTCACCCATAATATTTCAAATTCACTGCACCAACCAAGCCTCCATCTCAAGGAAGTATTCTTCTCTGACACACGAATCGTTCAATCTTTTACACACCAACAAATCCATGCTTCCATCTCACTCACTCACCAAACCCTAAACACCATCTTTTGGAAGCCGCTATTGCAATATCCAATGCCCTATGATCTAACAATCTTACTGTCCTCAGTACATTACCACACTCAACAAAGAGAGAAATTCGGTTTGCATTATTGCAAGAGGATAAGCACTTGGGTACAAAATGTAACACTTTTTTAAAATGATTTTTATGTGGCCTTTACAACAAGTGAAGTGGGCATGTGCTTTCTTGCACAATATACACGACGGAAAATGCTCGCTAGCAGTTTGTACTTCAACAATGAACATTAAGATTAGGGACAGAGTGCACAACACTTCATTTTCCATGTATGTCATCTATATATTACAACAGGTACAGGCTTAGCTACCTACATTACAGCGTTACAAGCAGTGAATTATAACTATAAATTTGGCCGAATTGCCTCATGTATAGGAATAGACAAGCAAAGCAAATCCGAGAGACTGACCTCTAAATCCTTTGCCACAATAGTACCTCTTTCCCGAAAACGTGAGCGCTTCAAGCTGCAAACACCATCAAAATTTAATCTTTTGGGCTGATAAAAGATACCAACCCTCCGACGAGCTCTCCTCCCAAACCCTAACCCGCTCCTCCTCTTCCTCAACCTCGAAACCTCTCTCGCCACGGCCGAGGCCTTAAGATACAACCCCAAAGCGTCCATCCCCTTCTTCACAGCAGAATCCAGCTGAAGCCCAACAAACCCCTCTACAACCCTAACAAAATTCTTCGATATCTTGTACCCACCTCGAAAAAACCCCAGCTCTAAAAAGTCCTTGCATCTGATCAAATTGACAGCCCCAATATAAGCCTTCAGCCTCGCGGACAGGATCGGAGTGATTCTGTGCTGGGTTTTGGCGGGAACAAGGCGGCTTGAGGCTTTGAATCCTTTGATAAGGACTTTGGAGGCGGTGATTAGGGTTTGAGGGGATGAAGGGGAGTGGAAAATCGTGAGGGCTTTGGGGATTTTGAGAGAGGTGTCGGCAAGCTTGATCACTGTTGAGATGGGTTTTAGGGTTTGGGATTGGGTTAGAAAGAGAAACCCCAACCCTAACCCTAACCCTAACCCTAGAGAGCTGATGATGAAGCGATCGTCGTCTTCTTCCGGCGCCATTGGACTCGGAAGACTTTTCCCGCGGGGTTATAAACAAATATGGATATTGTCATGTAACCCCTCAAAACTTTACTTGTTTAATATATACCCTCTAGTACTAATTGGTTGCTTACGCTACGTTCCGGAACTCTAATTGTCTGTTTGGATGGAGGGTAGAGAAGCGAAGGAGAAGGGAAATCTTGGTTATATTTGTTTGGGAGTTCTTTTTAAAAGAATAGAGGAAATGAATGAGGGGGGAAATTAAACTATAATCTTACCACCCCCAATTTAGGGGTAGAGAAAAGAAAGGGAAAAAATTAAACTAAAATTTTCCTTCCTTCCCTTCCCTAGGGTCTGTTTGGATTTGTAGGGGTGAAGGGAAGTTAAGGGAAACTGAGTGAAGGGAAGGTAAGGGAAGGGAATTCCCTTCCCCTTGGTTACACCCCAATTTGGGGGGTAACAATTTATATACTATTAGGGGGTGAACTAAGGGGAACTAGGGTGAATTAACTTCACCTCCTAAGTGTTCCCAAACAAGGTAAATGGATGTGAATGGTTCCCCTAACTTCCCTTCACCCTCATTCCCCTCAATCCAAACAAGCCCTTGGTCATCTCCCAAACACATCATAAGAGGAAAGGAAAGAGAATGGATAGTGGATAAAAGAAATGAAACTTGTCTATTTTTCCTTCTCCTATTACCTCCTAATTTTTGGTGTAAGATTTTAATGTAAAATTTCACCTCATTTCTCTCCTCTACCCTCTCAATCAAACTCCAAAACAATGTTAAACTCAAAATTTTCTTCCCCTTCTCTTCTCTACCCTCCATCCGAACACAACACTGAGAACCGTGCAACAAAATAAAAAGGGTTTATAATTTTATTTTAAAGCCACTTTATATATGTTTGGATGGAGGGTAAAGGTGGGGTAGGGGAAGGGAAGAAGAGAGTTTCTCTGATTTGGACGTTTTCTGTAAGAGGTGTAAAGGAGGGAAAGGAAGGGGAATTTTTTTAAAATTTTGTTTCCCTCTAAATTGTGGGGTAGAGGAGGGGAAGGAAAAGAAAGTAAAATTTCATAATAAAAGATATATCTTGACCCTCCATCATAATGAATCAATGACTAAGATTCATTTACTTCCCTTCCCTTCTCATAATTAGAACTTTCAAACAACATATTTAAGTTTACCTTCATTCCCCTTACAAAACTCCCAAACAAGATATTATATTTTCCGTCCTCTTCCTTATCTTTCATTTCTCTATCTTACCTCTCCTTCTTTTCTTTAGTGTACTCCCAAATAAAGATAGGGTCATTTCATGCAAACCATCTTATATTTTCAGTTTAAACTTAACCTGCTTGTGAATTTAGTTTTTGTCCCAATCAACCATCTAACTATACATTTCTCTTAAAATTCATGAAATCTCGGCAACACCCTCACCTTTTAGACATTGATATGGACCGTAGTCAGGGATCTAGTTGAGAGGAGATCACACACATTACACATGAGAATAAGTGAGGGCATTTTTGATATTTTAGGGAACTTTTAGCAATAAAGTAGACTCAGATGGTTTATTAGAATGAAAACTAATTTTGTAGGTATTTTAGATATAACTTCGAAATATAAGATGATTTTCATGAAAAGAAAAACCTAAATAAGAATTATCCTTGAATCAAAGAATAAATCTTCTTTAAAGTGCTCTAATAAAAAAAATACATAGCTTTCTCTATAAAAATGCAATGTACCAAGATCCATGGATACTTTTTATGCCTGATAAGGAATATTGTAGACCGGATATCCAAACAACGAATTTGAATTTGGTTTTCTACGACAAATAGCGCATGTTGCAACATTTGTTGTAATTATTTTTGCAACATATCAAACAAGTAATTTATGTGCTAAAGTGTGCAAAGGAGCTAGGATAGCATTAGGTAGCCAACATTCAAGATAAATCAAATCAGATCTACATGATATGAACCATAGAGAAGATGCTTGGCAGCAACATGTTTATATGGTGAATAGTTTCTCAATTCTACTAATATTAGAGGTATTTTGATGTCTACCTCCCAATGTTCAACTAAGAATGATAGTCATCATTGTTTTGTAGAAGGCCACGTGGGTTGGGGTGGAAAAGAACCAAGTATTTAACAAATAGTTTGATATTTATTCGCCTTAGTGCTCGGTCATATTTGATTTGATGGTTCGTTTAATAATAAACGAATAATTTTTATTATTCAGTTCATAAACGAATAGAATTTGATCATAGGTATATTCGTTTCGTTTCTTTAATAGACTATCCATTTATATAGTATAATCCTTAAAATTTCATTTTGATGCTTGTAAATGTGGATAAATAGATTTTTATTTGTGAATATTATATATCACTAGGTTGCATATTAATCAGGTATATCATGTTTGGCATTATTGCAAGATTAGGATAGCAAATATTTGCAGAATATCTAACAAATACGGACCTAATAATTTGCAAAGATTACCCGAACACTATTAACGAATATTCGTGAATAGTTATCGAATATTCGAATACTGATTTCCTATTCGTCTTGAATTTGAATAATCAAATAGTAACCAAATACAAATATGAACACTAGGGCATTTGATTCAAATTCAGTTTGTTTCCACCCTTACATGTGGGCATGTTCTTTTAAGGGCCACAGGAAAAGAGAGTGATTCCCTTCTCCCTCTTTTGCTTATCCAAATCATTCTTAAATCCTTTTGTATTGAAAAGTATAGAGCTGAAAGTCTTTAAATTGATGATAGTTAGCTAAAGAAGCATCTTGATGACTTGAGGAGTCAAAATATTCATTCACCAAGGAGGCTTAATCTAGGATTGCAAATTAATGGATGAGTCAACCCCAACTTGAGTTAAGCACTAGATTCTCAGTCAAATGAGATTGCTCAGTGCAGCTAGACCAAATCTCTTTGTGTAATATTGTTATTATTATGAGAGAAATGGCCTGAATCTGAGATTTGCTGCTAATAAAAAGACTAGTACATAGGGGGCGAAACTAAACATTTGTTTAAGACCTTCACTATTTCTGCGCAATCGCAAATGATCAAGTCACAACTACACTAAACGCGTTTTCGAGTTAGTAAAACTACTTCAAGAGGGGGGAAAAACAATTGAAAGGTTTCATGTTTTACTCTCTTGCCACGCGTTAATTACGTGCTTCATGAAAACTCTAGCAAAAGTCATTTTCACTGATGGAAGGTTTCAAGAGGAACATGCTTAGCTCAAGAAAACTCCAAGAGTTAGGTTTAAAAGGATGCATGCGGCTCTGACCCAGTAACGGCTGAGTCCAATGTTTTGGTATCCTAGTCAAGAAAGGAACCTCCTTATCCAATCTCCCTAGAGATCGATCACCTTTCAGCCTCAAGATGCTTCATTCCCACTTTGAAGCAAAGTCATTAATTTGATGATGCTGAGAGAGAACAGAATATAGCAGCAAAATGTTTGTGGACCCAAATGACAGTTGTGGATCTTAAAAGATCGATGCGGTGAGAGCCGTGATTAAAACTTTATGTTTTAACATCTCTACTGAAATCTGAACTATTTTAGATAGTGTCTCACACACACACAAGTAGAGGAGGGTGAGGTGTGCTCTCATAACCGATGTGGGACTAAACCTGCAACTAATACATATAATAATATCAACATTAACAGAAGAAACAAATGCGCAGTAAGGTTAGTAATTTATTCACATTGATCATGATTTCAATGACCATGTTTTCAACTCAAAGAGGCAGAATGGAAAAAATATCAAGAGTAGCGTACACCGTCGACCACATCCAAATTTTCAGTTCATTCACATTTGTTGCTTGCTGCATCAAATCTCCGAAATCGCGGTAAAAAACTGGGAAGTTTGTAATTTTAACACACTAAAAAGTGGATTCCCCCATATCCCTCTTTATTTCATTCACACAAAAAAAAAAGGTACTGAAACCTGACGAGCATTATTGATGCTCTGGGCCCCAACTGAAAATGATGCCTCATGGGAATTTTTAACGATGCAAATTCCACTACAACTCCTATAAACAAACAGAGCTTTAGTTTAGCACAACACCACTCAAGTGAGGGTAGAGGAGGGAGGAGAAGAGGAGGAGAGCTCAATGGTGATGCTTCTGAACCTGGGGGGAAGCAAGAGGGTCCATGCCATGAGTTGGGCTTCGAGGTTTCAGAGGTTCAACGATGGAGAGTCTCCGACGAGGGCGAGGGTTGCGTGCGTGAAGCAGTTAGTGTGGAGGTTGAGGTCCCAGTGGAGGTTGATGATGAAGTCCAGGCAGGGGAGGATAAGTTTTGGCTATGATCCTGAGAGTTATTCTCAGAATTTTGATGATGGCCAGTTTTAGTTAAAACTCTTTTTAAGTCTTATGGAAAGTTTTGTGAGTTGGTTGAGAGATTTACATATATGAATCTACATATCCTTTCTAATTTTTTTTTTCGGTCTGCGTAAAGCGATTACAGGCTACAAATGCGCTGATTCATGGAAACTTGTTTCTAATGTTGAAGGCAAAGGATCATAGGCAATTAAGCCTCTAGCACTGAAGTTGGCAGAATTCATCAACTGAGATCATTTTAGTTTCAGTGTTCTAGATGAGAATAACTAGACATCAAATTAATATCCTATTGTGAAGGTAGGATGGTATACAAAATATGGATACTTTGGAAATTTCTAGCTTACTATAAGGGGTTAATTGAGGATAGACCCTCTGAATGAGTTTTTTTTCTTCACTCTTTACCCTTAAAGAAAGAGAAATTTGCTTTTATTTTATTTTTTTGACAAATAGACCCCTTGAGGATAAAAGAGTCAAAAAATTCACATGGGGGGTTTATCCATTAAATATCAAATTTTGCAACGCCGTCCCGCCTATAGCAACGCCGGCATTCACACCCCCATTCTTCAATTCATCACCTTGAAATCTCATATCTGTTCTCATCCTAATCAATTGAGTGCTCCATGGCTCCGAAACGCAGAAAACCCAACGAAGCTACAACTTCCAACTCACCGACAGAGTCGCGGCATCGCTCTACAAGGGGTAACCCTTCACATCATCCCAATAACACTTATGGCATTATTTTTTACCCCGATGTAAATCAAGAGGTACGATTTAATAACTTAGTCTCCAGGCGCATGGTATCGACTAAATTCATTGATGATGATGTGTTGTTACAATTAGGGTTGAGAGATAATGTCTATAATTTACTGAATGGCATTGGTTGGGGAGATTTTGTGGTGTTGCATAGACCTACATACATGAGGCTTACTCTGGAGTTCTTAAGTTCTATATTAGTTGATGCAAGTGATATTGTCGCAGGTGGTCGACTTATTTTTCGATTCTTTAATAGGGACCATGTGATAAGTATGGCTCGGTTTAACCGTCTTTTTAGCCTAATCTGCCTTTCAGTGTTAGTATGGTCAGGGTTAAGAAGTGAAAAGATAGGGCGGTTGAAAAAAATCAACCAATAGATGTCATCGATCTTAGTGATAAGACTGAAAGCTGTGCAGTATGATAAATCCACTCAAGCTATTGGTTTCTCCACAGCTAGGCGGGCTAAGTTTAGTTTTATTCGTTATGCTAAAGTTGTGATCAATCCTCCAACAACAATGTCACCCACACTAGATCTCCTAATTTTCTCTAATTGTTTAGCCATAAAGTATCCAACATCAACCACAATTGTCACCCACACTAGATCTCCTAATTTTCTCTAATTGTTTAGCCATAAAGTATCCAACATCAACCACAATCCTATTAACTAGACAGTGCAACATGAAAACATCGGTGTCCCGAAAAACACTTATGCTTTCCCCTCTGCCAAAGATAGTGTTGGCCATGAGCCATTGTAAATAGCGGAAAACAGGGTTATAAATTTAGGAGGTCTTATTCTTGGAAGGTTCATAAGGGAGGTGGTCATCTGCCCTATCTACTGGGCGTTGTCTATCTTCTCTTTCACTGGTTATGGCTCTCCAAAAGGTGGTAGGATCTCACTCCCTCAAGGGTTTTCGAATCCCCTGCTCATCTAGGCTAAAAAGATGGTTAAACCGAGCCATACTTATCACATGGACCCTATTAAAGAATCGAAAAATAAGTCGACCACCTGCGACACTATCACTTGCATAAACTAATATAGAACTTAAGAACTCCAGAGTAAGCCTCCTGTATGTAGGTCTACGCAACGCCACAAAATCTTCCCAACCAATAGTATTCAGTAAATTATAGACATTATCTCTCAACCCTAATTGTAACAACGCATCATCATCAATGAATTTAGTCGATACCATGCGCCTAGAGACTAAGTTATTAAACCGTACCTCTTGATTTACATTGGGGTAAAAAATAATGCCATAAGTGTTATAAGTGTTATTGGGAAGAGGTGAAGGGTTACCCCTTGTAGAGCGATGTCGCGACTCTGTCGGTGAGTTGAAAGTTGCCGCTTCGTTGGGTTTTCTGCGTTTCGGAGCCATGGAGCACTCAATTGATTAGGATGAGAACAGATCTGGGATTTTCAGGTGATGAATTGAAGAATGGGGGTGTGAATGCCGGCGTTGCTATAGGCGGGACGGCAAAGGTGGTGTCTTGGCGGTGGAGGCACGCTTGGTGGCGGGTTAGAAAAATGGAAGATAGGAAAGGCGGCGAGAGAGAGAGAGAAGGGTTGATGGGATGTCGACGGCAAGGTCAACGGTCGGAGGATGAAAGGTAGGATGGAGGTGGTGTGGTGGGATTTGGGGAAGTGAGAGGTGGAAGTGGTGGGATTTTGGGAGGTGAGAACAAAATAAAGGGGGGAATGTCGACAAGTGTACGGTCGTGGGGTTGAGGCAGAACAAATGAATTGAAGACTGACGCCCGACACGGCTGTGTCCATGGACACACCCAAACCGTGTAGAATCATTATTCGGCATTTTTCCTTCGTCCTCTCTTTTTGGGCCTTAATAACAACAGAACTCTTTGCTACCTATTTTTCTCTGGTCATCTACCTACACACACCAATTCATGGCAACCTGATTACATGTCCTGAAAGCTAACAATTAAAATCAAACACTAAATAAAATAAAGCAAAATAAAGTGAAAGTAAAGCTTGGGTTGCCTCCCAAGAAGCGCTCATTTAATGGTCATGAGCTCGACCTACATTTTCCATTACGTAACATCTTGAATATTGTAGTGAGAATGCTGTGTGTACCCATTTAATTCCCATCTCGACAGAATTTGAGAGGATGAAGTTCATGAGCTCAAAAAGAAGGAAAACAAATACTAAATCTTAACCAAGCCAGTCTTATCGCATAGTTAAAACCTCTTACAAACTGTAGAACAAACTCTTTCGCTGCTTCCTATATATCAACATTATAATCTCACACCAGAAAAAATTATATAGATTCAACTCTGTGATAAGAATCAACATAGAGGATTTGAACACACAATCTATGATTGCACACTAGCCACCTTAAAACTAGATAAAATAACCAGACTAAGGTTATAATAGAGTCACTACATTGAAGGATGGACTATAAGAAAGTAAAATTGTTCATGACATAGTAATCAAACATAGCATAAGAAATAATTTCTTGTGATAAGTCTACATCATCTTCTTCCTCTTGAATGTTGTCCTCTGTTGCTCAATGTGCTCGAATAAGCTCCCATCGAACATACGTCTGATAACCTCCCTTGAAAGATAACCCTTTTCATCTCGAGCAAGGAGATACAGAACTATCCATTCCAGCTTCGCGGCGATCCTACGACATAAGATGATTGTTGCTCATTAATCAAATAAATTATGCTATTGTACAATTAGTCTAGTTTGTTTAAAATATGGTTGAAACCTGTGGTAGTATCTTTGTTTTGAACTTACACTAACCTTCTAGTTTTATTTTTTGCACGTTGACCCCCTGAGTGAAGTTTTTTTGACTCATTTACCCTTAGGGCATCTGTTCGGCAAAAAACAATTTTCTCCTAGGCTATAGGACTTACCATCCGAAGAAATCATAAGTTACTCGGTTACCCTCTGTCATGTTCCACATTTCCGCGAATGATAACTTATCAGGCACCGTACGTGCATATTTGCTGAATATGTTCTCCAAATTAGCAGGCATATACCTGATTTATACCGCAAAGAAACATTAAATTCAATAGAATCATATAATTAAGCTATTTCATTTGCATGCATTTTTTAGACACATTGGAAAAATTACCTGCCCTCAGTGTCGTAAGTTCCAGAGTCACTCCCATGCTTGGCCTTGTGTATGTTATGAATGTACACAGGTAACAATGGTGAAGGTATCCAACTCTATTGAGAACATAAAATAGTTCTAGTCATACAATAATTAAGCTAGATCATGTAAATTTCGTATGTTTAAAGTTTAAACTTACCGGGAGAGTTGGATAGCTCAAAACCAAGTTAATGAGAAACGACAGGACCAGAGAAACAATCAGATTGAAGCCAAGCACTCGAAATCCTAATTGAAAAAAAGCTACGTTTATTTAGCATGAACAATAGTCATCGTTGTATACGAGGGTAATCCATGTTACCTTCATAAGTTTCCCATGGATACACGATACCATCACCATTTCTGTCAAAAAACGCACAATGCTGCTGAAGAACACTCATATTGTCAGGCTCGTGGTCTGTGGAACCTTCCGGGTGATAAACGTCTGGTGCTGCTAATGTGCTCTAGCCATATCTGTAGAGAGAAATTTGATAATACTTGAAGATTTTTGATAGATTCTTTAAGACTGGTTAAGTACTCTTTCTGTCATATTAAAATGACTATTATCTAAACCTGATACAATGAAACATTTCTGTCTTAGTAAGGGTACTATGCAGTATTATCACTTGAGATATATATGCATACATCAAACTAACACTATTAAACAAAATTTATAACTTCTAGTTTGAAATTTCAGGCCCAAATTAAGTTTTCGCTCTGGTCGGTCGACCGGCGTGGCCGCTGCGGTCGACCGCAAATGTGCACAGGACCCTGTAAACACATTTTTCTCTGGCCGGTCGCCCGGCCTTGGCACGGCGGTCGCCCGCGAATCGTCCAGACAGTTTCCTAAACTGTTTGGGAATCTGTTTTGTTTCAGGATTCTATATATACCCCAAACGTATTTAGGGTTTGAGAGACATCAAAAAGAGAGCCTTTTTGACTGCAAAGAGAGAGAATCTCAGAGAGATTAACCCCTTGTTTGAGAGCTTGTATTTTCTTCTTCAATTAATAAAAAGATTGTGTGGTGTGGCTTCCGAGGACGTAGGCACGTTGCCGAACCTCGTTAAATCTGTGTGTTCATCTCCCTTACTGTTTTTGCAAGTTAGATCTTTATTTGTGGTTTTATTCCTACTTTCCTACTTTCAACACAAGGTCCGGAAGAGCAAGGGTTCGATTGATTGTTTCGAATCCCCAACAACTGGTATCAGAGCTTCGTTCAGCAATTTGTGTGAAAGCCATGGCAGAGGAAAGCAAATCAAAGATTGAGAAGTTCAATGGATCGGATTTCGCCTACTGGAAGTCGCAGATGGAGGACTATCTGTACCAGAAGGACTTGTATCGCCCGCTGTTGGGCAAGGAAAAGGGAAAGAAGAAAGAGGAGTCAGATGGTGATTGGGAGGTACTGGATAGGAAGGCTCTAGGGCAAATCCGGTTGTCGCTCGCCAAATCAGTAGCCCATAATATTCTGAAGGAGAAGACGACGGTGGGGCTTATGGAAGCTCTCGCGAAGATGTACGAGCAACCGTCGGCAGCAAACAAGGTGCATCTAGTCAAAACTCTTTTCAACCTCAAGATGGCAGAAGGACAGTCCTTCACGATGCACCTCAGCGAGTTCAACACGATTGTTGATCAACTTATCTCCGTGGACATCACGTTCGATGACGAAGTGCAGGCCCTTCTACTACTATCGCAGTTGCAGGATAGTTGGGCAGGTTGTGTGACATGTCCTCTTGTGCACATGTGAGTTTCAAAACAACTCCAAGTCCGGCCCATAGCATTAAATCCCAAGTCTGCAGCAAATTAAAAGCAAAGTCAGGCATTTGATTTTCAAGTCCAAAGTCCGGTTCTTGATTTCATTGATTTTCAAAAGAAAACTGCAGCAAGGTCCACATCCATTAGATTAAAGCCCATGTCCGGTCCTTCATTTCATTGATTTTCCAAAAGAAAAAACAAACAAGTCCGGCCCATTTTGATTTTTGAAAATCTGCAGCACAAAGTAAAAGAAGTCCGGCCCAAGTTTTGTTTCTCATTTTCCAAACTCAAGTCCATTCAAAACCCAGCTGCAGCAACTTGTCTGGCCATTTCTTCAAAATCAAAGCATCCAAATTGAAGAGCTAGTTAATGGAAATCAACCACAACAATCCGGCCCAACTCAAATGAATGTCCGGTCCAAGTCTGCAGCAGTGATTTTTTTGTGAAAATCCACCAAGTCTGGTCTTCAAAGAAATGATTTCATGGTCCTTTCTCCATTTTAATCAGCAGGTAAGTCTCCGGCCCATGAGTAAATTATTTGTTGATGTGCCATCATTTGCTTGATTTTTTTGTCCAACTATGCATTAGTTCGGTCTTAAAACTCTTTTGCATCCAAGTCCATTTCATTCCACTCTTTACATCCAAGTCCATTCTAACTCTTTGGTGTATATATTTTTTTTAATGGGCTTTGCTATTTGGGCTTCAATCATTTTCCTCTTTTAAGCTTTTGCTTCATGGGCTTCTAAATACTACAAAATAGAGAAGAGAGATTTTTGAGGGGTTTTTACATTTAATAATATTTATTTATATTTTCATTCAATTATGTGCAAACTAATCTAACAATAATTATTAATGGTATATTTATTCATGTAAAATAGATAATGAGGGTATAAAATTGTAATAAAATATGATTATCAGTCTTCTTTTGGCGGTTCGAGATACTACGTCACCTTTATCGACGATCACTCGAGGAAGGTGTGGGTTTACTTCATGAAGCACAAGTCAGAGGTGTTCGAGATCTTCAAGAAGTGGAAGGCCATGGTCGAGAACGAGACAGATCTGAAGGTGAAGTGCTTGAGATCAGATAATGGTGGAGAATACGAGCTGGAGGAGTTCAAGAGGTTCTGTGCTACGAATGAGATTCGTTTAGAGAGAACTACTCCAGGGACACCGCAACAGAACGACATTGCGGAGAGAATGAACAGGACCTTGACTGAGCGTGCGCGGAGCATGCGATTACATCCAGGTCTGTCTAAGATATTTTGGGCGGATGCGGTACATACGGCAGCATACCTTATTAATCACGGGCCATCAGTTCCATTAGATTTTGGGATTCCAGAGGAGGTTTGGAGTGGAAAGAAGATAAATCTCTCACACTTGCGGGTATTTGGTTGCGTGGCTTATGTTCATATCAGTGACCATGTCAGGGACAAGCTAGAAGCTAAGTCACAGAAGTGCACATTCATTGGATACGGCATTGATGAGTTCGGGTATCGCCTTTGGGATGAGAAGAACAGGAAGATCATCAGGAGCCGGGATGTGATATTCAATGAGGAGGTGATGTACAAGGACAGGGACAATGCCAAGGATAGCCAAAGCAGTGGGAGCAGCACTACGGATACAGGTGGATCCGAGTACATGGACTTGGAGGAACTTCCAGATGGGGGCGACGATGTCAGTTCTGACCGTAGAACGGAGGAGACTACAGGTGCAGAAACTACTACCCAGGGCATGGAGCCTAGGAGGTCATCTAGGGTACCCAAACCAAATCCCAAATACCTCTCGTCACTTGATTATCTACTCTTAACAGATAGCGGAGAGCCGGAGTGTTATGAAGAGGCAGTGCAAGTGAGTGAATCTCAGCAGTGGGAGCATGCGATGCAGGAGGAGATGGATTCTCTACTCACTAATGAGACATGGGAGTTAGCCCAGCTACCTGCGCAGAAGAAAGCCTTGCACAATAAATAGGTCTACCGGGTCAAGCAGGAGAGTGATGGAAGCAAGAGATTCAAAGACAGATTAGTAGTGAAAGGGTTTCAACAGCGGGAAGGAGTTGACTACACGGAGATATTTCCCCCTGTTGTGAAACTCACAACCATCAGAGTGGTGTTGAGTTTGGTAGCTGCAGAAGACCTCTTCCTTGAGCAGTTAGATGTGAAGACTGCCTTTCTTCATGGTGACTTGGATGAAGAAATCTACATGAAGCAGCCTGTTGGCTTCATTGAAGAAGGAAATGAAGAGATGGTGTGCAAGCTCAAGAAGAGCTTATATGGTTTGAAACAGGCTCCGAGACAGTGGTATAAGAAGTTTGATAACTTCATGCAGAACAATGGCTACAGAAGATGCAATTCGGATCATTGCTGTTATTTCAAAAGGTTCGAGTCCAGCTTCATTATTTTGTTATTATATGTTGATGACATGTTGGTAGCAGGACCGTGTTTAGAAGAGATAAACAGTTTGAAGAGGCAGCTAGCAAAGGAATTTGCAATGAAGGATCTGGGTGCAGCGAAGCAGATTCTAGGGATGCGAATCAGTAGGGATGAAGCTGAAGGGACATTGAGTTTGAGCCAAGCTGAATACATTGAGAAGGTACTTCAGAGGTTCAACATGCAGAATGCTAAAGTTGTTAGCACACCCCTTGGAAGTCAGTTCAAGTTATCTGAGGAGCAATCGCCTAAGACAGATGCAGATAGAGAGCATATGAGCAGGGTGCCATATTCTTCAGCCATTGGGAGTCTCATGTACGCGATGGTTTGCACGAGGCCGGACATCGCCCATGCAGTGGGAGTTGTGAGCAGATTTGCAAGCAATCCAGGAAAGCAGCATTGGGAGGCCGTAAAGTGGATAATGCGGTACTTGAGGGGAACAACGAACAAGCAGAGGAGTTCTTTATTGTGATAGCCAGAGCGCTATACATCTTGCCAAGAATCCAGTATATCATGCCAGAACGAAGCACATCGACGTTAAATACCATTTTATACGCTCGCTGATCGAGGACGGAAAGTTGCACTTAATGAAGATTTTGGGGAGTCAAAATCCGGCAGACATGTTGACGAAGGCAGTCACCATTGAGAAACTGGAGTTGTGCGCAACTTCAGTTGGCCTTCACGAGTAGAAGACGAAGGCGGAGCCACACTACGAGGATCGGCGCGATAACCGGGATGTTGATTGAAGAAAGAATTTTTCAGGGAAAAGATACATGCGAATAAGGGGAGAGTTCGGGTGAGCTCATTGATGGCGCTTTGGTCTCCAAGTGGGAGATTGTTAGTCTAAGTGTGTAGACCTGAAGCTGCAATCGAAAAGACGAAGAAAACAGTCAGAAGACTGTGCGGTCGCCCGCAGTGGCAGATCCGGTCGACCGCGTGCACTGCAGGAAACTGAGAAGTTTCTGTCGCTCTGGCCGGTCGACCGGCGTGGCCGCTGCGGTCGACCGCAAATGTGCACAGGACCCTGTAAACAGATTTTTCTCTGGCCGGTCGACCGGCCTTGGCACGGCGGTCGACCGCGAATCGTCCAGACAGTTTCCTAAACTGTTTGGGAATCTGTTTTGTTTCAGGATTCTATATATACCCCAAACGTTTTTAGGGTTTGAGAGACATCAAAAAGAGAGCCTTTTTGACTGCAAAGAGAGAGAGAATCTCAGAGAGATTAACCCCTTGTTTGAGAGCTTGTATTTTCTTTTTCAATTAATAAAAAGATTGTGTGGTGTGGCTTCCGAGGACGTAGGCACGTTGCCGAACCTCGTTAAATCTGTGTGTTCATCTCCCTTACTGTTTTTGTAAGTTAGATCTTTATTTGTGGTTTTATTCCTACTTTCCTACTTTCAACACAAGGTCCGGAAGGGCAAGGGTTCGATTGATTATTTCGAATCCCCAACAGGGGGGGGGGGGTCAGCATGTTGCCGGGAATTTTCTGCCAATCTGCCAATTGACAGGTTGGGCTAATGTCTAAATTGATTTGAATTTGTGAGTATTTGTTTGATTGGCATTGATTTGGTCCATATTCAGTTGATTTGGTTCAATGTATCGGTTTAAATCGTACATCTAAATCCGGTAAATAGTAATATCTATTTTCCATCTCAATTTCCAGAACTAAAATACAATTAGCTATAGTTCTACCACCATATTATACTAGTATTAATCCCATGCTAAACACGGCCTAGTGTTTTGTTTTGCACATCTAATCAGGATTGGTCTTCTGTCGTTAATTTTGTTGTATTTTTTACTCTATCAAGTTTGAAACAATCAAATAATAAGATACAACAAACACGAAATAGTATAACCAAAATTGACAATTGACAAGAAAATAATCAGATTTTCAAAACCAAACTTCAATCTTGCAACTGAAGATAAACCATAGATAACAAATTGAACGTTTACGATATTTTTGGAATTACATCCACTTGTTAGCAACATAGTAGGAAATGAAAACTTTGTTACATGTCTGGAAAATAAAAATAAGCTTGAAACAACCAAATAATAAGATACAACTTCCACCCAACTTTACTGTAGAATGAACGGTCCTTTTAAGTTTCACGTTTTTCTTTCCTGATAACCTAAGAGGGTGTTTGGTTGCACAATTTTATACAAAAATTTTCTCAAAATGTCTGACAATGGCAATTCTGTAATTAAAATTTTTTTGTAGATTTCTGTAAACTGTGTTTGGTTTAAAAAAATTTACAGAAATGTTCTGTAAAATACAAAAAGGTACAAAAATTTACAGAAATCAATTTCATCTCAAAATAGGCGGAAATCACCCAGAAATCTGACACCACATTGACACTTTTCTATAAAGCTAGACATTGACACTTTTCTATAAAGTTAAACACTTTTCTATAAAGTTAGACACTTTTCTATAAAGTTAGATAATTTTCTATAAATTTAGGGGGTGTTTGGTTCAATTTCGACAAATTATAGGAAATCTTGTTATTTTCTATAAAGTAATGAGTCATTTTCTTGTTTTGAACCAAACAAGCAAAGAAAAAATTTGTTTTGATACTTTTTGACTTCTCAAAATTTTTTCTATAATTTTTTTAAGAAATACAAAGAAATCATATTTTGGGTAGAAAACATTTCCTATAATTTGTAGAAATTGAACTAAACATCCCCTAAGGCTCAAACCATTTCTGCGTTTTGCTATTTCTTGTCCAATTTAACAAAAGTCTTGAAATATTTGGCACTACATGTTCAATAAAAGATTAAACAAAAACATGAATTTATTAATTAAATATTAGAATATTAATTATAGTTAAATATAGATTAATGGCCAAGAGATATTAAATCAGTCAGATGTCCCTGATTTTAAACGGGTTATGACTTTTGTTAAATGATACTTCCACCCAACTTTACTGTAGAATGAACGGTCCTTTTAAGTTTCACGTTTTTCTTTCCTGATAACCTAAAAGGGTGTTTGGTTGCACAATTTTATACAAAAATTTTCTCAAAATGCCTGACAATGGCAATTCTGTAATTAAAAATTTTCTGTAGATTTCTGTAAACTGTGTTTGGTTTAAAAAAATTTACAGAAATGTTCTGTAAAATACAAAAAGGTACCAAATTTACAGAAATCAATTTCCTCTCAAAATAGGCGGAAATCACCCAGAAATCTGACACCACATTGACACTTTTCTATAAAGCTAGACATTGACACTTTTCTATAAAGTTAGACACTTTTCTATAAAGTTAGACACTTTTCTATAAAGTTAGATAATTTTCTATAAATTTAGGGGGTGTTTGGTTCAATTTCGACAAATTATAGGAAATCTTGTTATTTTCTATAAAGTAATGAGTCATTTTCTTGTTTTGAACCAAACAAGCAAAGTAAAAAAAAAAAATTGATACTTTTTAACTTCTCAAAATTTTTTCTATAATTTTTTTAAGAAATACAAAGAAATCATATTTTGGGTAGAAAACATTTCCTATAATTTGTAGAAATTGAACTAAACATCCCCTAAGGCTCAAACCATTTCTGCGTTTTGCTATTTCTTGTCCAATTTAACAAAAGTCTTGAAATATTTGGCACTACATGTTCAATAAAAGATTAAACAAAAACATGAATTTATTAATTAAATATTAGAATATTAATTATAGTTAAATATAGATTAATGGCCAAGAGATATTAAATCAGTCAGATGTCCCTGATTTTAAACGGGTTATGACTTTTGTTAAATGATACCATGGTAATAAATAATAAATAAATAAATGTGTTGGTAGATGCATCATGCATGTACAATCACTAGTTTCTTCCTTTGTCTTTGTCTAAAGGAATAGTCTTTGCTAGTTTAATGGCATAGAAGGATGTTGTCCGTAATTTTTTTATTAATAAGCTTGTATCTTATTGGTCTACCTTGTAAGTGTATCAATTTTGTCACAAAAGGAAACTCATAACCAAAAGGGGAAATATTTAGGCACCTCAATGATTCTAATGTAAAGATAACACCGATAGTGCTTAGCACTAGCGCAAGACCGTAATACCCGAGAAACCCGAAAGAAACCAAGAGAATAAACCTCTAAGTATGAAGAAGAATATGAAGAACACTTAGAGAACACTTGAAAGACTTTTAGAGAAATGTAAAGAACTTATGAAGAGGAAGACTCTTTATTTGAACTTGCTTTATTCACTTGTTCAACTTTTTTTTCTTGCTTACAAATGAGAGAGGTGAGGAGGTATTTATAGCCTCCCAAAGATATGTTACAAAGGATCTAGATTCTTCTAGTATCACCTCCATAGTTCCTAGATATTTTTCTAATCTCTAGAAATTTCTACATAATATCTAAATATTTTTATCACAAATTATCTAGATGTTTCTATACTATTATCTAGATATTTAGCTTAAAGATTTCTCTAGAACACTTTAAGGAGGTGATCAACCTTCTAGAGTGTTTCTAGAAAACCTCTAGAATTTGGACCTAATTTTGGGTTTGGTCAAACTTAGAATAATTCCATCATAAACCCAAAATTAAGCCTGATCCAAAATCAAGTTTAATTTCAATACTCCCCCTTAAACTTGATTTTGTCAACCATCCCGAGCTTCGAGCGAAGTAACTCAAATTGGCCCTTTGGTAGTGACTTGGTGAAAATATCTGCAACGTTGTCTTCGCTTCGAACCTCCAAAGCTTCAATTGTTCCATCAAGCACCTTCTCCCGTATGAAATGATGTTCTAACTCGATATGCTTCGTCCTTGCATGAAACACCGGATTATTAGCCAACTTGATAGCACTTTGATTATCTCCATAAATTGCAACCGGCTTATTGATTGGCTCCAACAAATCTTCAAGGAGTCTTCGAAGCCATATACACTCTTGAGCTGCGAGTGTTGAAGCTTTATACTCCGCTTCAGTGGTAGACAATAACACCATTGCTTGCTTCTTGCTGCACCACGAAACCTTGCGTAGCTTTATTGGCCGACAAATATTCCATCCTTTACCCTTTCGACCTCCAAACCAAGAAAATTGTTCAACTCACCCAACTTCTTCATCTCAAACCTCACCGACATATCCTCTTGTAGACGAGCAATTTCAGCATCATCACTCCCGGTGATGATCATGTCATCCACATAAAGAAGAACCACCACGTGGACTCCTCCATTCTTTTTGAAGAATAGACTCAGATCAGAATTTGATGGCACATACCTGCAAAACTGAAGGAATTGAGCAAGCTTTCCATACCAAGCTCGAGGAGCTTGTTTTAACCCGTACAAAGCCTTTTTAAGCTTGCCGACATAATCAGGATGCTCTCGTGACTTGAAACCAAGCGGTTGCTCCATGAAGATTTCCTTATCAAGCTCTCCGTATAGAAAAGCATTCTTCACATCTAGTTGCCATAACTTCCAACTAAAGCTTGCGGCTAAATATAAAAGTGAGCGTACCGTAGTCATCTTTGCCACTGGACTGAAAGTTTCATCATAATCTTCTCCATATTTTTGAGAGAACCCTCGAGCAACCAACATTGCCTTAAATCTGTCAATGCTCCCATCCGTTTTTCGCTTAATTCGGTACACCCATTTACAAGAAACGGGTTGGACATCCTTGGGTTTTGGAACCAAATCCCAAGTTTCGTTCTTCATGAGAGCATTCATCTCCTCCTTCATTGCGCCCTCCCACTCTTGAACTCCTTTTGCTTCATAATACGATGATGGCTCCTCTTCATCTAATGGAGCTGCAAAGTAGCATGAGTAAGTAGTGACAAACCTTTCATCTCTGAACCGAGCAGGCTTAACAATGTTCCTTTTTGGCCGTTGATTAGCCATGGAACTACGATCTTCTTCCTCATCTTCCTCTTGATCAGTGCTCCCCCTTTCACCTTGCGTCTCTTCTTCAAGACTTCCGCTTTCACTTGGCATTTGAATAACTGGTTCATCAATCTTGGAGGAACCCCCACCTTCTTGTTCGACCAAGACTTGAGGTGGCCCATAAAATGAAGAAACTTCATCAAAGACAACATCACGAGACACGGTGTACCTGTGTGTCTCTGGATCCATACACCTTCAGCCCTTCCTTTGTTCATCATAGCCGACAAAGATGCATTTCTTCGCCTTTGCCTCCAACTTGGTTCTTTGAGAGTCAAACACGTGGACGTAGCAGATTGATCCAAATATCCTGAGATGTTTCACCGTTGGCTTCTTCCCATGAACCATCTCATAAGGAGACTTCATATTGTTCGGACTAAGTGGCATCCGGTTGATGACATACGCTGCACATCTCATGCCTTCCGCCCATAAGGCCTTAGGCAAATTTTTGTCATGTAACCAGCTTCTACATGTCTCGCTTAGATATCTTATCTTCCTTTCCGCTACTCCATTTTGCTGAGGTGTATACGGACATGTAAATTCTCTCTTGATACCATGTTTTTGGCAAAAAAAGAGAAACTCCTTTGACATGAACTCCCCTCCATTATCCGTCCTTAAAGTCTTGATCTTCTGACCTAATTCTCCCTCCACGGTAACCTTGAATTCTTGAAACTTGGAGAATACTTCTGATTTTTCCTTCACAAAGTATACCCAAGTGTACCGTGAGAAGTCATCAACAAACAGTAACATGTACCGAAACCCAGAATAGGAGGATGTTCTCGTCGGACCCATCAAATCACTATGGACCCTCTCCAACGGAGCGCTGCATCGTGAAGTGGAGTTGTCAAATGGAAGCCTACGTGACTTTCCATATTGACAGCCTTCACAAAGCTTTCCTTCATCATGAATCTTTAACTTTGGGAGCCCATTAACCAAATCCTTATTCACCATAACCTTTAGCTTTCCTTCATCATGAATCTTTAACTTTGGGAGCCCATTAACCAAATCCTTATTCACCATAACCTTTAGCTTAGTCATATTTATATGACCAAGCCTAGCATGCCATATAAAGGCATTATCATTCGTACTCATCTTCTCAACATAAGAATTTGAGGCCGATAAAACATATAAACTCAACATAAGAATTTGAGGCCGATAAAACATATAAATCCTTAACCCGTGCTCCGGTGTGAACCACGTCGGCTTTTAATTCTTTAATATTCTTTAAGAATTTAACGTCTCTTAGGCCAAATAAAACGTAGTTACCTGAGTCAACCGCATTCACCACAGAGAGAAGATTCTTCCTTACTCCAGGAACATGATATACGTTCTTGAGAGTGATTGGGCTTCCATCATCTCCTTCAATGATGACTGTCCCTTCCTTCTCAACGCGGTGGATTGAATTATCCGCAGTAATAATGGCTTCTTTCCCGTCATGACGCTGAAGACTAGAAAATAACTTCTCGTCTCCGGTAATATGATGGCTACAACCAGAATCCACAATCCAATCATTCCCAAGATTTTTTGCTGTGGATGTACCTGAAGATGCAGCCTCCACTGTGAAACATTTTCCCCATTCTTTGTCTTCAGTATGACCCTTTGATTCCGCCATATTTGTTTCCTTCAGCTTAACTCGACAATCCTTTTTGAAATGCCTAAGTTTTCCACACCAATAACACTTGAATCGCTTCTTGTCTCCCGTAGAAGATCCTTCTCGTCCATCATTATTCTTCACATTACCATATTTGGGTTTGGCTCTGAAGCTTTGTTGTCTCCCCGCTACAAAAGCACTCCCCGAGTCATCATGGACTTTAACTCCCGCCATTTGCATGGCTAGTGATTCTTGCGAAACTAGTAGATTTTCAAACTCCTCCAAGGAAGGTTGTGTAGCCCATCCTTGAACTGAAGTAACAAACGGTGTATATTCGGGTCGTAGACCACGAATAATAGACCGCTTCAACCGTGCTTCCGAAATCGACTCCTCCGGATTGAGAGTATTAATCTCAGAGCAAAGATTTTTTACCTTGATGAAAAACTCTGAGATTGAAGACCACCCCTGCTTTGCATTTGCCAACTCGTTCTCTAACAGTTGTAGACGAGCCTCGTTCTTCTTGTTGAACAATTGATCTAGTGCCTGCCAAATAGCACTTGCGGATGTACATCTTGAGACATGCTCAAATAGTCCTGAAGATATTGACCTCTTCAAAGCAAACTCCGCCTTGGCATTCTTCCGTGTCCACTCCTTTGTCGCTTCCGCTGTTGCAGCATCTCCCCTTGGTGGTGTTGTGCTGCTACCGCCGACGACATCCCATAAGTCCTCACTAACCAAGTATGACTCCATACATGACTTCCATAACCGATAGTTAGATTGGTTTAAGATCTCCATTCCCAATCCAACGACACGACCCATTGATTCCATACTTAGAGTAAACCCGAGCTCTCTTTAAACCCCGATCTTGAAGAGCACAATATTAGAATGGCTCTGATACCATGTAAAGATAACACTGATAGTGCTTAGCACTAGCCCAAGACCGTAATACCCGAGAAACCCAAAAGAAACCAAGAGAATAAACCTCTAAGTATGAAGAAGAATATGAAGAACACTTAGAAAACACTTGAAAGACTTTTAGAGAAATGTAGAGAACTTATGAAGAGGAAGACTCTTTATTTGAACTTGCTTTATTCACTTGTTCAACTTTTTTTTCTTGCTTACAAATGAGAGAGGTGAGGAGGTATTTATAGCCTCCCAAAGATATGTTACAAAGGATCTAGATTCTTCTAGTATCACCTCCATAGTTCCTAGATATTTTTCTAATCTCTAGAAATTTCTACATAATATCTAAATATTTTTATCACAAATTATCTAGATGTTTCTATACTATTATCTAGATATTTAGCTTAAAGATTTCTCTAGAACACTTTAAGGAGGTGATCAACCTTCTAGAATGTTTCTAGAAAACCTTTAGAATTTGGACCTAATTTTGGGTTTGGTCAAACTTAGAATAATTCCATTATAAACCCAAAATTAAGCTTGATCCAAAATCAAGTTTAATTTCAATATCTAAAGCCAGTAAAAAACAAGGTATATGAAAACCAATTTGTAATTTATTAGTTTGTTGACTTTCAAACAAAATAAAGAAATAGTGAAAGAGATTTTAGCAAAACATTTTCACAGTAAACTTCTTAGAGGCTTCATCAGGAGCAGAGGTTGCTCTTTATCTGAATACAAAATTGAGAATTTAACATATCCAAACGTGCATATCATCAAGATTTGTATTCAAACAAACAAGCAACAAGTGCTAAATTTGTATTCAACCTCATAGTCGCTTTGCTTCCAAAAATAAATTGATTAGGTCATGGGTCTAGACTTAATGATACCAAACACAGGGACTTTTGTGAATAAAATGAGTATCATGGGTTAATTAGGGGTGATCAAATGGTGGGCTCGGTTGTTTTTAGGAAAAAGATTGTAAAACCGAACCGAACTAGTTTTGGAATATAATCAGTTCAGTTCTGTCTATTCAAATTGGGCTTGGACCCACATACTTAAAAAAAATATTTAACTCAAAAGGGTATTCACAAATCAAAGAGCTTTGATGGAAAAAAGATACTAATAACATGATCAATCATGCCAATCAATTGAAATGGGGAAAAAAAATCATGGGTACAAATCTTAGAATCAAGGTAACGCTTTGGGTTGAAAGTTTTCCAAATAGACCTATTCTGAACGCATTCTAAAATCGAATTGAGCTAAACCGGCAAAATTTGATCAGGTCCCTCGATTTTATCATTTCAAACGGATTAATGCTCAGCCCTTGATATGAGAACCTCACTCGCTACAGGGATCCAAAAATATGGGACCAATAGAGTGGACAAGTGAGGTGTTCCCCTCCTATTGGATAATGAGTTGACCATCATGAAAAGCCAATCTTTTTTTTCTCTCTCCCCTATTCTCTTTTCCAGGGACCTCCACCTCTCCTTTTCTTTTTGGATGCTGACATGGAATTCTGAATTCCACCCGAACTCCGAATCTTTCGCCTCTCTCTCTCTCTCTCTCTCCTCCTTCTCTCTCCTCTCGATTTTGCCCCTGCGTCCCCTCGCTCCCCTAAAAGGTAAGAAAACTAGAAACCCATCTCGATTTCAGCTCTCAATTCCCCTTCTGGTCGATTCTCTGGTTGTTGAGATGCCCTTTTGGAGTTTTTAGACGAGCCCACTTCGATTATTGGTGTAATTTTTTTTAGCTTGCCTCGATTATTTTGCTAAAAATCCCATTTTGGGAAATGGGTACGGGTCAAATTTTCGTCTAATTTGGATCATGGAATTCTAGGGATTTTTTTTGGGATTAAATTTGGGGATTTTGTGATTAGGGTGCTTGATTGGGTAAGGTGCCGTACTTGGATTTTCTTCAGTTTACTTGTGCTGCTACATGTAGAAAATTTTCCGTGCTTGTTGTTTTAGTTGTTCATTATTAATTTTTATAAGTGTTTTTCTTTGGTGTACTTATTATGTTTGAATAGAGTCTCATGCTTGCTTTAGCAGACTTTGTGGATGCTATAAAGGGTTTGGATGATCATATTCGCTCTTTATATTGGATAAATTTGCAAGACTAATATGTTTTAGTATTCGCCTCTATAATTCTGCAACTGTTTATAATACATTTGATCCATGGGAAAGTGAGCAAGGTTGGAGAGAATATGTACTTGAGTCCTACTAGTTGTTCTCACATGGCAAAGTGTGAAAAACATTCTGATACCACACAACTCTAGAACTGTTGGCGGCGGTAAGCAATGGATACGAGCTTTAGAGTTCGAATGTGGACATGGTTTATGGTTAAAAAGCTGGTACCAAAACAAGTCATGCAATCCTATCCCTCGAGTGACACACACAACCTCTACCCACCCATTTTCACTTGAATATTGTTGTGTAAAACTATGTGGAGATTGTCTAGAGGTCAAGAAAAGCTTCAAAAAGAATTAAACCGAATTTTAAATAATCTCGAATCGAAATGGTGACATATTATGTAGTGCTGAATACCTAGCTTAGGAAGCTATAAGGAAAAGGAAGTCCCGTAATATCTTGTTGAAGTTTGATTGGCATTTAGGCGGTCATATTGTTTTCGGGTTATGGAGGATTAAGCTTATTCTATTATAAATAAACCTAACGAAGATCCAATAGACAACAGAAGTCTACATGAAAAGGTAAGATGTTAAACAACTACAAGGAATTATGTTTTTCTTCGAGGCATAACAATACGAGCTAAGGAGCCTACTGGAACAGTTCCAAATTCCAATGCGGTAATAATAACTAGACTGTGGATATATATTCTCATGAGATATCCGCCAGTGAAGTACTCCGCTCATGTAAGCCGACAACCATTACATATATAACTCTAGGAAAAGATGGATAGGAAAGCAAAAACCTACTACGTACAATTACACACAATAACAATGTAAATTTTCTGTCAATCTTGCATGAATCCTCTCAAGGGAGATACTATATAGTAAAATCAAGATCCTCCCTGCCCCAATGTGAGAGGAGCATTTCAACATTAGAAACAGTTGATCATCTTGTGTTTTTCTCATTACTGTTGTTTCTCCAAGATCATAAATCGAGACTGGCTTCTTTCAATCAATAAATCGAGACTGGCTTCTTTCAATCTAATTGATGTAATATGCGAATGGAACCTTTGCTTTAATGAATACCACATGAAAAATATGTGCGTCAAGTATGCCTACTGATTTACAGTACAATTCTAAATGAGCCCATAAAAGTTGTTGGTCTGCTTGGGTCATGGACGTGCATATAAACAAACCTATATTTATGTTGTACATTACTGATCTGTATTGTACTCATTCTAATTTTGTCCATGATCTGCACGAATTGTATTCTTGTTTTATTTGGCAATATGACTACAATTTTTTTTTGCATGTGTATTGTTTTGTGTTTGCCTACACTTGTGTGTGTTTCTTCTATTTTCTTTCGTGTATGCGGGTAAGTTTTTTTTGCTCACCACGAAGAATGATTTATGACATTAAGTCAAGTTGGTGCCCTAAATGTAGTTTCTATCTTGTTATTGCTGCATTCTTCTTATTGCATGTTAAATTTTCCAGTCATTTTGCTTAAGTGCTGTACCAATAGTCTGCATTTCCCCTTCCAGTATGGCCGCTAGAAATGAAACTTTGCAATAAAACAAATCTTATTTGTACAAATTTTTTCTGGCTTTATCTTATCATTTAAAAACTTGGCATCTGATGGTAGTTTATTTTTTTGGCCCAGATACTGTATCAATTAGACGAAGTAGATATAACTTTCTGGGGGTTAATGTCATCGTCTCTTCCTGTACTTCCTATCACCTCGGGTGAGAACTATCCTAAACTACCAGATTCGCAACAAGTTTCAATGGAGAGGGAATTGAGGAGCAATCCTGTCAATCCCCATAAAACAACGTTTGTCCCCAGTAATGGAGCTGTTGGTCCTTTATTTTCATCAGCTCCAGGCCTCACTTCAGATCTCCAATATTCTACTATCTCGCCCAATGTCAAGCAACCTATTAATGCTTCTTTTATTCCTCAATCTCAGAGTAGTTGCACATTTCAATCTTCATTGTCTAACCACAGTAGAGAATCCAATGAAATCAACTGGTGTCAGGATACACTACAGGGTATGCTTGATTACTCTGAAGAGGTTACTGTGGAGAACAATCAAATCCAGAGCAGTACGATTATGCCTTCTGATAACCTCAATCAGCAAAATGACTGGTGGTCGGACTTAGTGAATGAAGACTGGAAGGATATTCTCAACGAAACAAGTGGTAGTGAACATCAACCCAAGGTATTACCCTACTCAAACAAATCTAGTATATGATATAGAATATATCATTCTAGAAATAACCTACACATATCTGATTGCTTGTCTTTTTGTTTGGTCGCCACCAAAACATAAAAGTAAAAAAGTTTTTTTTTCTGTATATATATATCCCTTAAATCATTTGGAAAACTACCCCCAAATTCAAGTATTTGCAAAGCTACCTAATTCGTAAGTGTAATGTAAAATATCAACCAACTAGTCTAATATTTATTTACCATACTCAACAAAGTTGATGACTTGTTGATTGGGTTTTGTTTTCAAGAGCTGATGATTTCGGGGTTAGTTTGCAAATATCGAGATTTTATTTGCAAAGCTACCTTTTGATTGTTTCGGCCAGTTGTTTTTTTATATGCACTTTATGCAATTGATTGTCATTCTTCTTTCTGTGTAAGGTTGTGTATTCAGCAGCACCAGTATCTTCAAATGTTTCAGTGCCCCAATCTCAAAGCCATCAGATGGTTCCCTCTCAGTCCGGAGAGCTAGGGGCTGTCAACAGTCCTTCGACGTCTGCTGGTGGAGCTCCTGCCAGGGCCCGCATGAGGTGGACCCCGGAACTCCATGAACTCTTTGTTGAAGCTGTCAATCAGCTTGGTGGAAGTGAGAGTATGTTAATCCGTATTCATATGATCTGATTGAGTTTTTCCTCGTACAATATTGTGCTTGGAAGTATGTGGCCCCTAATTTTTTGTTAGTTCTATATTAGACCCTCTAATGTTTATAATAATGGTTCTAAATGGGGGTCTTATTGTAAAACAGCTTAATAGATTTCGGGGTCTTATTTAATCAACTTAATATATTTTGGGGTCTTATTTAAAATAACTTAATGGATTTGGGTGTCTAATTTTGAAATATAAAGATTTGGGGTCTAATATATAATCAAGAAAGATTTTGGGGATCAAATCGATAAAAACACTAAAATATAAAGTATCTTATACTTGTCTATTTTTCACTTCCAGAGGCTACTCCTAAAGGTGTGCTGAAAATAATGAAAGTAGACGGATTAACCATATACCATGTCAAAAGCCACTTACAGGTATTCTCTTGTTATTTCTTTTCCCGGGAGGTTTGTTCACTTGGTGATTGTGAATCCATAATTGGTCCTTTTATTCTGCAGAAATATAGAACAGCTCGGTACAGACCAGATTCATCTGAAGGTTGCATTGTCTCATTACCTTCCTTACATATTCTAAGCATTTTCCTTTTCTCATTCAATTTTGTTTTCTATGACAAAGCACATAAAAAATTTATGTGCTCAATTCTTATATGTTCTGTTTCCATTATCTTTCTATATTTGAATCTTGAGATTGAAGTGTGACATTCTTCTAAACGAGATGTTTCCTTGCATATATACAGGGACATCGGAAAAGAAAAGCAATCCTCTTGATGAAATGTCATCTCTAGACCTCAAGACGTAAGACGGCAATTTCTTTAGTTAAATACTCATTGTGGTATCTAACAGTCAATAATGATTAGTTATGCTAACTAACAATTGTCTTGTCAGCCAATTTGTTTTGTTTATTTGGTAGGAATTCTGACCTTGTGTCTTCTTCTCACTAGGGGTATTGAGATCACTGAAGCATTAAGACTCCAGATGGAAGTTCAGAAACGGCTTCACGAACAACTTGAGGTGTGTATCTTTCCTAGTGTGTATTAGATGACTTAGATTCCAACACATAACTGCTGCATTTACTGAGAAGAATATCTAATACAGAGCCATACTTTTCCCCTTATTTTTATCAATGAATTTGTTAGAACAATATATACTAATATATACTACAAGAGGAGGCCTGCCAGGCTGTCACCATTAGCTGAACTGTTCAAAAGTTTCATAATTTTTACCCTTTGTCGGCTTATGGTCACCAGCATGAATATGTCTCTGCATGGGTCTTTGGCTTTCTTGATGATTTACATATGAATGAAATTCCTTTTACCGATCCTGTCATACTTAGTATTCGCCTAGACTCTTTCATTTTCTTAGGGAATATATTTTGAGTATTGTTTCTTGGTTCATCATCATCGTTTTATTTTATCATCAAGGTTAGGTCGACCTTGGGTCAAGAAGTACAATCCACAAAAGGATAAAACCAGTGTTTATTGACTATGCTAACTTAGCATCAAAACTCCATGAATTGGTCCCATTGCACTATCAAAACCTTATAGCGAGTTTGTGGGTAGGGAGATTTGGTGTTTATTATATTGTTTAAGCTCTTGCAACAAAGGGGGCAACGGGCGATGTCCACGCTAGGAAAGACTGTAGATAAAGAAAGATTATAACTTTGTATAATAATTGTATTCATTCACGAGGCTCAATATTATAATTCTAACTAAAGTACACTCTCCAAACTACTTCTACACTACTACACAAAAAAATGTGGGGTCCTTCCATTTGAATTGCCATCAAAATTGATGCGTCATTAGTGACCCTACAATCTTTGGGTGTAGTAGTTTGAGTGATGCGTCATTAGTGACCCTACAATCTTTGGGTGTAGTAGTTTGAGAGTAGTTTCGAAGTGCAGTCTAGTTATCACTACAATAAAGGAAAAGGAGTAAAATGTGGTAATATTTCCAAAGTATTGATTGCTTCAGTACTGCTACCGTCTCTCATGACTTCAGTCACTACTGCAACTGTCTCTCATGACTTCAGTCACCACCACCACCACCACAACAACAACAACACCATCACCGCCACCAACAAAAAGTGTCGGCTATATGAATCCCGTTGTTCCACTCAGTTTTGTTGAAGGTTATCTCCTTCTATAAGTTGCTCATTATCATAGCCTTTTTAACTACTTACAACCAAGTCCTCTCGGGGCTACCACTAGCCCTGTTTTCCCCGCATAACTATAATCTAGTCACTCCTTCAAATTGGTGTATTACACGGCCTAAATTGCAGATGGCCAAACCATCTGAAGTGCACACATTTTTTATTCAAGATATGCTATGATTGTAACTCTTCAAACTATGCCATATAACAGACTCTGTAAAATCTTTACCTGGATAGCCAGAACTTACTCGACCACATTTTCGGTAAAAGTATTGTATTTCTTACATTTAATTACTACCCATTCCACATTACACATCTTAACTGGGGACATGTATCATGTATGGCAATCCAATTTATTTATTTTCCCACCTCATTTACGGAAGTTTTTTTTATATATATACCCCATAAATCATGTGTATTTGCAGACCCACCCTCCAAATCTTAGTATTTGAAAAAGTACCCCAAAATCATCAACTTTATAATAGAAACACTGCCCGGATCAACAAATCATCGACATTGATCGGCTAATCTGTAACCACAACGTAAAAATGGCAACAAATAGTCAAGTTTTTAATCACCATATCCAACAAAGGTGATGGTTTGTTGATTTGGGGATAAGTTAAGGTGATGGTTTGTTGATTTGGGGATTGAGCTTTTGTTGATTTGGGGATTGAGCTTTCTCCCAACATTGATGATTGGGGGATAGTCAAATACGGATGAGTTTAGGGGTACATATGCAGAAAACCTTTGGAACTTAATATTTGTTTTCTGAGCATTTTTTCCCTACCAGATTCAAAGAAAGCTACAGTTGAGAATTGAAGAGCAAGGGAGGTACCTTCAAATGATGTTCGAAAAGCAATGCAAATCAAACTCCGACAAGCTCACACCATCCTCAAGTGATCCAGACAATCCAAATCCCCAACCTTCAGCCTTAACCCTAGCTGACAACGGAGCCAAAGAAAAGGATCAGGAGATATCCGAAGGCTTGGGGGAAGCTGATACTGTTTCTGGATCGCAATCTCAATCCCCATCACGCAAGCGATCGAGAGCAGAAGAGACTACATCAGCATCATCGGCATGAAGCTAGTACTAAACTCAAAAAAAAAAAAAAACTATATCATCATACACCGATGCAAATGTGGCAAGTTTTAGTGAAGTATTGGAAGGAGATAACCTGCATTTGTCACGGGCAGTGATCGTATAGTCTTGTACCGTAAATAAACCCATCGTTATGTACTTCTAGATACGCGACGCTCAAGGTTTTGTCGAGGATCTTTTCTCCCCCTTATGATAGATTGGACCTATGCCTCAAATTTATCTTTTGTATGGTGATGTTATTGCTATGATCATTGACTGAATGCACTTGGGG